CTTTGAGGAAGTGATATTTGAGGAAAGATCTGGAAGGAGGTGAGGGATGTGAGAAAGGGTGCTGGAGGCAAAAGCAACAACCTGCATGAAGGCCCTGAGGCAGGGTGTCGGGGGCTAAGCAGGCACAGTCACGTGTGTCTCTGAGGGACTCCACCATCCTGGTGTGTTATGGGGACAGTGAAAAGGCCCGTGTTACTGGAGCAGAGTGAGGAGGAGGAGGAGGGGGAGGTGGGGACAGGACGAGGCAGGTTATGCAGGGTCTAGTGGGCTGTAGGGAGGGGGGACTTGGGCTTTGACCCCTGGCTCCCACCCCGGGGAAGGTGGGAGCCATGGAGGGTGCTGGGCAGAGGAGGGGCAGATCCTGGCTGGGATGTTTATGATCACTTATTTATTTTTTCTCCCCACACACTGGGCTGTGGTCACCCTTTGGGAAGGGGAGGGGCACCCAGAGCTCTCCCAGCCACCCTTGGGAAGCACTGGCTGGTAGGAGAGGTTGGGGGACACCCCCCCTTTTGTTCCCCCACTGTTTAGCAAACACACTGTCGGCTCCAAGGAGACAGACGGCCTGGGAATCATCAGATCCTGTGGCTGGACCCTCCCTCCTCCCAGCCCAGTGCCCAGAGCCACCCATGGGGTCTGCCCTCTCACCCCCAATAACACAGGGCTAGGAACCCTGTCTCGGAGGCAGGTAGGAGGGGGACACAGCCCAGGGTGGGCGTCACAGCCATTCCTCTGCCCACCCACCCACAGCCAGCCCAGCACATAGGCTGGGCTCAGCACGAAGGTTCCGGGTCTGGGTTTGAATCCCGTCCTCACCAGTTTTTTTTGGAACAGGACGCCTCCTCCAGGGAGCCTCCCTGGGTTGGCCCAAGCCCCCCAGGTTGGGTTTTCACTCCTAGGGTGCCCCCAGCTTGGCTGGTGCTCCATCTTGGTCTAAGTCCCTTCTGGAGAGTGACGGGCTCCCCTCCACACTGAGGACACCCTCTGCTCCTCACAGAGACCCTGACACCCTGAGACCCTGCTTCTGCCTGGGTTAACGCAAAGGTAGCATTTGTTCAGTGCATGACCTCATCTCACAGAGGCTCACAATCTCTCTCTGTGTTGTTCTACTGAGCCAAACGTGTATTAAGCACCAAATGTATGCCAGGCACTGTTCTGTGGGAACCTGTGGGGAGGTGTTCCAGGCAGAGGGCACAGCCCGTGCAGAGGCCCTAAGGCACGACCGTGCCAGGTGTGCTAGAGGCACAGCGAGGAGGCCTGTGTGACTGGGGTGAAGCAAGTGAAGGAGGAAGCTGGACGCTACGGGACGTGGTGCAGAGTACGAGAGAGGAAACTGAGGCACAAAGATGGTAACGAGTCAAGGCGTCCTGGCACAGTGAGGATTTGAACTATACCCATCTTGTGGATGGAACTGGAGGCAGGATGGGCACACAGGCAGTCCCTCAGGGGGGTCCAGGAGGGGAGCCCAGCTGGCCTGTGAGCCACTCAGCCTGGTGCAAGCTATGGGCAGGGAACAGGGGAAAGGTGCTGGGCCCGGGCCCACACTGGGTTGGGCAGGTGGTCACGTGACCGTCCAGGCCGCCTCCCCCGGGCCCATTGGCCGCTTGCCCCTGCCGGCTGGGCCTGCGCCTGCCCTGGACCCTATAAGGCCAGGGAGCCGAGGGCAGAGCCAGCTGCCAGCCGGGCCAGTCCGTCCTCAGGGGGACCCCCGCGC